TGTCAGTGTTCTGTGTGTGTTGTGCCTCCAGTGTCAGTGTTCTGTATGTTGTGCCTCCAGTGTCAGTGTTCTGTGTGTGTTGTGTCTCCAGTGTCAGTGTTCTGTATGTTGTGTCTCCGGTATCGGTGTCCTGTGTATGCTGTGTATCCAGTGTAGATGTTCTGGGTGTTGGATTGCTGTATAACTGACCACTCCAAGTGGCTCACCACACCAATTGTTTTTTTGTTTTTTTTTTCTTTATTTTGTTATATGGAGCTTTTTATAAATTTGTTTTTGTTTTGGTTTGAGGTTTGGAGTGGTACTGGGTTTGGAACTCAGGCCCTCATACTTACCACTTGAGCCACACACACCCTCCCCGGGTTAGGGTAACAGAGGGTCTGATTTTTGCCCAAGCTAGCCCAGGCTGTGACCCCATTTTACAGCTCCCGCCGTAGCTGGGATGACAGGCGCATGCCAGCTTCCCCAGCTAGTGGTTGAGCAAGAAGTCTCACAAACTGCCTGGACTGGCCTCCAACCTTGATCCTTCTCATCTCATCTTCCAAGTATCTAGGATTACAGGCCTGAGCCATGCTGCTCAGCTTACACAACAGTTTCTATATTGCTCGGGGGCAGGATGTTTACATTCAGAATCAAGTCATCCCAAGAGTTCATTAATTACTTTCTGTATTAGTAACTGCTATGCTATAAATACACCAAAATATTTGTAGCTTTTGAATACATTTCCCGTAAGTATGGACTGCAACAGACTCTAAGCGTATTTCTTCTCCCATGGGGCCCTTGGTGTGATTGGCTTTAGAAGCTCCCTACAAAATAGTTTCACATTCAGTGTGGAAGTTTTGTGTTCACAGAGGCATTCGTCAAGTCTGATGTCTCTCCTTAGAAGTAAAGTTGTAAGCCAGGTGCTGTGGCTTACACCTGTAATCCTAGCTACTCAGGAGGCTGAGATCTGAGGATCACGGTTCAAAGCCAGCCCGGGAAGGAAAGTCTGTGAGCCTCTTATCTCCAGTTAACCACCAGAAAACCTGAAGTGGTGCTGTGGCTCAAGCAGTAGAGCATTCACCTTGAGCTGAAGAGCTGAGGGACAGAGCCCAAGCCCAGAGTTCAAACCCCACAACCAACAACAAAAAGGAAAAAAAAAAAAAAGCTCAGGGACCACATCCAGGCCCCGAGTTCAAGCCCCAGGATCAGCACCAAAAAAGTAGTGATGGTAGTGGTAAAGTTGTTGTTGGGACTGGCTGGCCTTATGCAACAAGTACCTGGGCCACTGCGGGGCCCAGGCTGCCGACGGGTGTGAAGGTCTGCTGACCAAACTAACCTGGAAGGAGCTTGCTTCCCTCAGGGGGTGGAGAGGAGGCGACAAACCTTGGGTTCCCAGCTCCCCGCAGGGAAAACCCTAACCATTTAAAATGAAAACTCCTACCAGCATACTTTGAGGATGAAAGAAATGTTCTGTCATGCTTTTAGAGGGGGATTCATAAGTGTATTCATCTTTCAAAATTCATTGAAAGCCAGACACCAGTGTCTCATGCCTGTAATCCTGCTGCTCAGGTGGCTGAGATTCAGAAGATCAGT